GGCAGCAAGGGCACCTGGATTCCTAGTCCTTACCTGGCACCTGCTACCTACGATGCACCGCCGCCGTGGAGGCCTGAGGCGTGACAGCGGGCATATCAACCTGACAACGTGCGTGCGTTCCGCGGCCACTTGCTAAGCTGTCACGCGCGCGACGAGTATTTTGACGCGATACTTTAGTGCGTGTACCCCCCGCGTGTGTTCTCTCTCTTGTCGCCGGAACGAACGCGGCGGAAGTTAAATTCGGTCGCGGAAATTCGGAAATGCAACACTGTGCGGAAAAGTGACGGTTTTTACCGGCGCGAATTCGATTGAACGACCGTGCCCGATCCGAGCCGCGGCGCAACGAGTCCTGGAATGCGCGAGCCTTCGGTGCGGCGACTGGCGTCCTGGCAGCGTACGGGGCAGAATTTTCAAAGACGCGGTAACGCGTCGAGGAGGATCCCGGAGTCGTGGAAGCCGAGTGGCCGAGTGTGTGACCTCCACGCGGACACAGGCAGCTTCCGTGAGGCCCGTCGGGTAAGTCGTCGCGAGTGGTATTTTAATATATATTTATTTTAATATATGTATGTATGTATATTTATAACGCATACGTATATTTATAACGTATATGTATGTATATTTATAACGCTTTCGAGATTGATACGTCCGCGTGCATCTCACGCGCGGTTTTACGTTACATAAAGCGACGACGGCGGCGCGCGATTAAATGTGAGTCACGTTTGCGCAACCTGACGCCGCGCTGCGTCGCCGGCGTGAAGTCACGTCCCTGGTTTCGCCAATCTGGACGAAATTTCGACGAACGGACATGCGACTCTCGCCGGTTATTCGGTAAACAGGAATCGCATATCTCACAGTCTCTAATATCGAAACAAAACTTGTCCTCGATCAAACTTGTTTCTTCTTTCTCTTTTTTTTCTTTTTATTTTTTATTTTTGAAGAAACGACTCTGAGCTGCGTGAAATAATGGTAACAATCGGTCATTTCGAAGAATGACATTTTCTTTCAATCGAAAGCGAGAATTATTTTGAAATAATTTTATCCACGTTTATCGAAATATCTTTCTTTTATCTATTTATAAGAAGAAAAGAAAGCTTTTTCTCTAAACGAAAATGTCAATGATGTCATTGATGATTACTTGTATTGTTCCCTTTGAAAATATAAATATTTCTGAAGGACTCGGAAGAGAATGGTAATAATGATGATTGGTTATTACAAAAAATGATATTTTTCTATAAATACAAGTAGAAATTAATAAATAATAATTTATCCGGAACATTACACTTTCTCTTAGCGAAAATCAGTAATACTACTTTTTCTTTGAGAAAGTCATTTTCGATAAATACGAGAATTGACCATAATTTTATTATTTCAAAAAAATAACACACACTCTCTTTCTCTCTTCCTCGTTAAAATGACAATCAGAAGCAACAATTACGAAAAAAAATAGCTTTTCACGTTGTTTGCTGAGGTATCAAGCTTTCTCTTAGCAAACATTGCTGATTGATAAGTTATATACACATATAGGCGAATATTCTATGTTATCCTCATTCGATCTTAGGTAAGAGTAATTAGTTTCGTAACTCCAAAAATTATTCTATCGGTTGCTGCTCCGATTTTATGGTTCCCATCGGCTCTCGGAAATTAATTACGGTACGTCTTGTATTTTATCGCGATAACGGGCATCACTGGCTGTGTCTCACACGTTCCGATTCACGTGCCGCCATTATCATGATGTCCGCGAGTACAGTGTATGATTCAATCAGCTGCTTTAAAAAAAAATATGGTGTATAAAATATGTAAAATATGATTTATAATAAATATTAATTTACCGCGCAAATTTATTCGTATAGGAACAGATTTGCGGAGTGTGGCAATGTAAAATTATTTATTCTAAAAAGTTA